GTGATGGACAGAATATAGGGAGGCAGTTCCTGGATACAGAAAACACTGCTGTTATGTCTGTGGCACTGCCTGGGGCGCTCTTGGGTCAGAAAGATTGGGGCCCAGGCAGAGCCGTTAACACTGCATTCTCTGTACCCCATGTCTATCCCCAGCTACATGGTTTATATGCTGTCTAACCCTAGGGGTTAGTGCTAGGAAAATATAAGACTAATATTTTGTACAGTATTTACAGTTTCTTTTTGTTTATGGATTGAACGAGTGGACTTTGTAACATGAATCTTTTGGAGGCAAGGACCGGAAAAAGGTCTCTAGTTCTCTAAAACTAAGTGGACTTGGCTCAGGTGGCAAGAGTCCCCGAAGCAGGACTGGTCAGGAGAGACTTGATCCTGAGGCCCAGGATATTCTTAGGCTTGTTTTTCTGTGATCCTTTTATACTTGTCCTCCCTGAGTACTGACTTCATCCACAGGCTGGCTCTTCTTGGGGTAGTAAAGGTGATGGGAGCAGTTCTAGATGTTGTACCCTCACACCACGAAGAGAGGACACGACTCTGACTGCTTCGAGAAACCCCATGGATTTCGTTGCCTCTCCTTGGCTTGCGTTGGGTTCCGTGCCCATTCCTGAGCCCATGGGCTGGGCTGGTTAGCTTGTTACTGGATTTCAGATCTGGTACCCCTTCAGAAGGTTCTGATTTTATTGGTCTGGGAGGTAGGTCCCACGCATTGGTATTGTGAAATGTTTCCTGGGTGATCTAATAAACAGCCAAAGTTGAGTTTGTTGTCTCAAGGCAATCAATGTACACGGAGGGCTAAGAATGTGAGCAACTTCTCCAAAGGAAAATTTGGGTGAACTTGACACCCAGATTGGTGGGAGAAGAGGAACATAGATGTTGGAGAAGCAAATATCAGATATTTACTTGTGGCAGACACGTTAGCTGCCCCTGTGTCCACATCCCTCCTTTCTTCCTTGCTGCCGGAACCCAGCCTCAGTTTGGGGCAGTAAGGTGTCAACTCTAGGGGACAGATCATGACTCCTACCAATAATCCGTTTCTCCACCTTTCCTCCCTTGCAATGAGAAAGAGAGAGGGCGAGGGAGGGAGAGAAGAGGCAGAGCTAAATTACTCTTTGTACATAGCAACAAGTACAGAGAAAGTTTAAAATAATACTGGATGAATTGGTAGTGTAAGCTACCAGAGGAGAAGGAGGAGGAGGAGGAGGAGGAGGAGGAGGACAAAGAAATGTTCCAATGTGGCTACCTCTGAGAAATAAGACAAGAAGAAGAGAATGGGAAAGCAGACTTTTAGTTTTCATTTAAACCCTTTTCTCTGTGAATTTTCCTCTCTATGTGATTATATTATGTTTGTAATTAAAAATAAATGGATCTTTTGAAGTTTAAGATGGCTATGTGCTCTCTTGTTAGAGTACATTTCTTTAATTGTGCAAATCACCTTTTTTCACAAGAAATAAGTAGTATTTTTTAACTGTCACATTTATCCATAACCTCACAACAATGTAGTGTAAATAAACATGACATGTTTTCAGTTTGTGCAGAAGAAAATTATCCCAGGAGCTGAAATCAGAACTCAAGGTCAAAGCCAGTGCGTGGGATCTAAAGCTGGAGGACAACTAGCCATAGCTGGTGGCAGGAGACTGAGTTTTGTTCTGCCTTTTTTGTTGTTGCCGCAACTTTCTTATCTTGCCACCCTAATCTGATTTGGTCAGCAGGTAAAGAGGAGAAAAACCTCAAGAATTCAGCTGTAAGCACCTTCACCAATTTGTTTTCCATCACATTTTTTCAGTTTGGTCTGGTTCCCAGGTATCTTGTGAAATTAATTCTGCACTATCTTTTTCCTTACACCTTTGATAATGGACTCATTGTTAAAGTTTGGGGCCAGAGCATCACGTTAACCACAATGCAAAGGATAGTTAACTGATCTTTGTTATTTTCAAATTATGTGTGTAAAGAAAAGTGTTACAATTTAAAAATTGTAGAAGGACATCGCAAGACTTATTTTTTTCTCTAGTTACTAGGAAATAAGTTAATTTCTTAAGTTGTAGGCAGATGTCACCATTTTTTGTTCTTATTTATTTTACCAAAACCCAATTCTTAGGTAAAACCCTACCCAAGCTTCTACTGGTATTAGAGCTTTCAGTTTTGCACAGAATTTCCAGATAGTTTCCTATGATTACCCTGACTTCTGTACAAAGAAGACAGTGATGATATGCATGTAGGAAGTGCATGGTTTCATTCCACTAATCTGAACAAGCGCCCATCATTGCAAGCCAGCCGATGCGTTGCGTGAGGGTTCATCCTTAGCAGATCTGTAAATGCCGTATTGTTGCTTCTCCATCAGACAGTTTATCAATAGTCACAGATACTGCAACTGAATGAATGTATATAACATTCAGTGTTGGTATCCGGGAATAGCAGAACAACTGGACAGCAATAAGCAAAGATTTTTTAAAAAGTCTGAAGCCTGGACCATCCAATGATGACTGCATTTCTGAAAAATGGAGATTTGGCTACACTTAGTTCGGGGAACAGTTTAGGCATCAGCCTAAGAAGCTCAAAGAAAAATCAGCAGAGACCTCTAATCACAAGTTAATGAAGCCACCTAGTGGTTTGTTTCAAAATTTAAGGTTGTGTGGCTGTATCTCCAGATTGATTGTGTGGGGCTTTTAATTACTATGACTACAAATCTGACCACTTTTCATTTCATCCAGCAAGGAGGAGGGTCAGTGTCATTGAGGACAAGCACAGTGCTGCTCTGTGGAATACTTTTATTTATCTATACTTTTCTTTTTATGTATGTATGTATGTATTTATTTATTTTTGTGTTATGTGCCACTAGTGGGAACCAAACCCAGGACCCTCTGGTCCGCAGGCCGACACTCAACCACTGAGCCAAACTGGCCAGGGCTACTTTTCTTATTATAAAAAAAGGACTTATTGCAACTTACATGAAAATACAGTGAGATAGCACACACCAGAAGACAAGATTGCAGCATGAATGAAGACATCAACATAGTAAAAATTTTCAATGATTCGAAATGCCTCTGAGTTTTTCATGAAATGACTACACTTTTACGTAAGTGTGGAAACGGATCACTTACAAAATTCACAATGTCCAGCAAGATGAAGTAATTTTCAGGAAAAGTAAACTTGTACCTGATGCAAAGAGCAAAGAAATTTTTCTTCTGGGGGTCCTCACAAAGGTGGTATACTGCATATTGCAATGTATAATGTCCTCAGTCCTCATGACAGAAACCGGCCCGCATTTGGGGGATTCTTTCCTTATTGTGTCCACACTATTTGGAGGAGAAAGTGCGCCAAACCCCACTGCCCGGGTTTGCGTTAACTCATTTGATCCTCACATCCACGGATGAGGTAGGTAGGATTTGTGTCCCTGTATTGGCGATGAGGTCATAAGACAAGCGAGGTTCGAACTTGCCTAGAGACAGCTGTTACTAAGTATCGCAGCTGGGACCCAAACCCAGGCAGTCTGGCTGTAGCGCCCATGCTCCCCTCCCAGGTGCCGGATGCTGAATGGCCAACTCAATACAGTAAGACGCAGCCAGTGAAAAAGACAGTCCCCCCATGACTGACACCGTCTCCAGGGGATTACATAGGTGTGCTTTAACATGATGATAAAGATGAGGTCAGGGCTGCATATTTTTGAGATGACTCAGTTAACCTGACTCTATTCTAGGGGAGACTTTATCCCTGACCTCAGTTACCACACTCTTGAGCACGTGCATGTGTGTGCATGCCTTTGGTCAAAATAAATCAATAGGACTCAAACTCACCACTTCCTGACTTCAAGGAAATAGCTGAAATCTGTGAACTTTATGATGTGTATCTTCAGAAATAAACCTAAAATGCAGTTATAATAAGACACACTTTATTTTGCTAGTTTCCTTTTCCCGAGTGATGCCTTTAAACATTTTGAATGACAGCTAAATTCATTTCTCTTAACTAGTCATGGAAGTTGATTAGCAATGAGCAAAGAGCTTGTAGGAAAATAATAGCATCATTGAAATATTTTCAGTGAGAGGAGTCCAAATATCATAAAACTTGAGTCTTAAATTGAGCATTTTAGAATGATGTTCTTTTAAGCTGTGCTTTAGGATAGTTGTGTGGTTTTGCTAAGGGGAAAGGGTATATTTTAAAAATGACTGTTCCATATAGGTAAAGCTCCTTAAAAACGAATTTCAATGACGTTGAAAAGAAATAAAGAATCTCATGCTCCTGGAAGATTTAGGTTCTATTTTGGCGTCAATATAATGGCCTACAACCCATAAGACTGAAGTTTCAGAATGATAACCTTATGATAGTTCTGCTCAATGCTTGAAAGATTCATTTGCTCATGGGAATATAAATGAAAGGAAGCAATGCCAAGACATGGTGAAGGAAATATTGGCTGGGAATCAAGAAACTTGGGATTCTGAGGTCTACTTTATCCTTATAATAAAGGATGACATAGATTCTAGAATACATGTCAATTTTCTCCTGACTGCGGAGACAGGCCTAGATTCAAATTCTGATACTTATTAGCTGGATGGTATTGGCTTAGCCCATTAACTTCTTTGGGTCTCAGTTTCTTCATCTAGAAAATGGCTGTAATAAATACATGGATTGTATTAGTGCTCACCGTGTGCGTGTATTGCCATTTTATATACCTTTAATCTTTGTAGCAGTCTTAAATGGGATATTCACATTTGTTATCCCCGCTTTGCAGGCGAGATCGCTGAAGTTGAGAGACTAGGTAATTTGAAGGCTTAATGAGGGTAATTCATGTAATGTCATGTCTCCCGATCCGTGGCGGATGCTCCAGATCGCTAGCCAGTGTTTGCCTAGCGATACTTCTCCTCTCTTCCTTTAGATGTACTTTGAAGAGGTGTGAAGAAGAGAAACGCATGTTCAAGTAGCTTAAGTTTGGAAATTAGATTGAGGTTTAGGCCAAAGAGCAAAAAATAAAACTGAATCTTTATTCTCCTACAGGAATGGCAAAAACTCAACTATGACATCTACACCCTGCGACAGATTCGGAGGGACGTGAGAAATAGATGGAAATGCATTTTAGAAGATTTAGGTGAGTCTGAGAGTGACTATGGAACGGTAAAAATAAGCCGTGGTGATCGTTTCTCTTCACTTTTTTCACCATGATTTTCATAAAAGGAATGTCGGTAATTGGCTACTGAAGGCGACTGTGTACAAATGATTTTCCCAACCCTGTCCTCCGGTCTCCTCCAGGATCAACATCTGCCACATCTCTAATCACCGGCCTGTGTCTTGAGGACACATTTGGCCATGTGTTACTCCATCTGTCCTCAGTACCCAACAGCACAAGGCCGTGGGATCATATGGGCACTACGCTGAATTTTTTTGGCGTTACACATTGATTGGATTAGATGGGAGCAATTGGCCAATTAGTCATAGCTTTATAAGATGAGGAAGGTTGGGAGAGATATTGTTTGTAAGAAACCTTTCTTTTTGATGAGAGTACAACAAAATGCAGTGTAAACTTTCAGAAAGACTAAAAGGTAGAAAAGCTTCAAAGTTGGGGAACATCCTACTCAAAGTTGTGGCCTTTGAGTAGATATTGGGTATTGGTGTTGGGGAAAATCCCTGTGGCATTTGAGTAGATATTGGGTATTGGTTTTTCTTAATTCTGCTAGGGTTGTGATACAATGAACATGGCCTTCACATTATAAATAAGCTCATTTTAATGTTTAAAAATGAATTGATCAACTTTGAAGTCCCCCAGTCCTTCTGCTTTGAAAGAGAACATGACCCCTTGGCATCATAACTTTTCAAAAGTGGGGGTACCAAGTTACTTATTGCTTTACTTAGAACATGATGGGAATGGGGTGCACTTTCTACCCAGTTTACTCACCTAATAATGGTGGGACTTAATAGTCTTCTCTTTAAAAATGTAATTTACTCCAGGCAGGTGTAAATCTATGAATCTTTGTACCTTTGGGTAAACAATTTTAACCAGCCAAGTATGTTGCTGCAGGGAAGGGATTCTGGGCTTGGAAAAGGAGGGACCTGGACGTGGCCACGTTTTGGCTTCTGCTCTGCTAAGGCCTGTGGGAATTCTGGGGGCAGGGGAAGAGGTGAAGAGTCGGGAGTGGAGACGGGGTTTCAAACCAAAACAAGGGCAGCCAGCCATTCGTGGATGAGTATCTGAGGCCTAACCCTGAGGGAAAGTTCACACAGAAAAGTCAGCAAGAAGAAATACCAGATTTTAAAGAAAAACACTGCCAATCACCCAGCCGGGAAGCAGCCCGGGTTCGGCTTCCGTGTTCTGATGTTTGTTCAGAAGTGACATCAGGCCCGTACTGCAGGACGGTCACTTCCTCTGACTGCTTTACATGATGGGCACATCTTTTTCCCTTAGGTTTTCAGAAGGAAGCTGACTCTTTGTTGTCAGTGACGAAACTCAGCACGGTCAGTGATTCTAAAAACACAAAGAAAGCTCGAGAGATCTTGTTAAAACTGGCTGAAGAGACCACGATTTTCCCAACAGGCTGGGAGCTCTCCGAGAGGTATCTCTTTGTTGTGGTAAGTGGATGCATTTTTTCATCTGCCCCGATTTTGCTTTCATTCCTTTATTCTGTGTACTCATTGCATCACCACCAGCAACACCGCAGTGTGAGGTGGCAGATGGTGTTGGCGGCTGTGGCCAGCAGCCCGAGTCACCTGGAGGGCTTTGATTCAGATTTCACAATTGCACCCAGACCTGTTTGAGACTTGGGTTATGGCTCCAGAATCTGTATTTTTCAGCCAGTTCTGCTGTGGAGTCAGCTTTGTAGGTCAGAGATGTGAGAAATGTTTATATACCCTAAGACTGATGAGGAATTGGAAAGGATGTTTCTTGGATAATGTAAGTAAGGGTTAAGGCATGTCTCTAAATTTGTGGAGAAAAATTTGATAAATTGTTCCCTCATTATTATTTCCAGGATGGGTTTTGTTGTTGTTAGATTGGGTTTCCTGTCAACAGGGCATGGCTTCCCATCTTGACAACGTTTTTGTATTTCATTTGTTGGCAGGACCGTCTCATTGCTCTTGATGCTGCAGAAGAGTTCTTTAAAATTGCCCGTCGAACTTACCCCAAGAAGCCTGGGGTGCCATGCCTGGCAGATGGCCAGCGAGAACTGCACTATCTCCCATTTCCAAGTCCCTAGAGGGGAGGCTGGGAGGCACAATTGGAATTCTTCAGCTGGGACTCAGCAGCCAACCAAAGCTGGGCACACGGATGTAGATAAGAGCGAGCAAGTCAAGGGCTACGTGAAAAATGGTTCTGAATCCCACAAAAAGATCTAAGGATTTGAATATCTTTGTGAGGACTTTATTCTGTGAGATGTTCAGGTTGTGTTAAAGCATACTGCTGATCTTGCATCGGAGAGTTGGCCAGTGGAATGTTTCATCATGACGACCGATTGGATTCCCGGCGCCCGTTGCCCTTGTCCTGGTTTTGGTTGTACACAAGCCTTAATCATTAATCCTGTCGGGAGGATGGGGTAGTCTAGTTAATAAAACAATAAGATTAGTGGAGAGGACTCTCATTGAGGCCAATATGGATTATCAAATCTAAAATAATTTATAATTATATATAGGCTAACATCAAAATGATACCAGGCACTATGTGACCTTTCTTTAATTCGGAAGAACCTTGGAAGATGTCAGAGGCATCTCTTTAAGTATTGGTTATAATTATTCAGAAATACAGATGTACCAGATAACAGAAGTGTCTAGAAGTGCTGCTCAGCTGTGAGTTCCAAACAGAATGATCCCCAGCAAAGCATCCTGAAGCTGTACATAAGCAACTCTGTCTTCAGCTGTGGTACAAGCATCTTGCATTCTCAACATTATTGCTATCTGGTTACCTCCTTTTTGCATATTGCCTACTTCTAATCCAAAAGCCCTTGATGTTTTACCCAGGATGGCATCTATCAACAGAAACGTCTGGCCTGTACTTCCTTCTCTTCTCTGTAATCTGTTTCTGGCTTATTGGCTGAGGGTTGCGCCTGCCCAGGGACCTCTTGTGCTGTCTTCTGGGCTGTGTTACACAAAAGAAGGTCATCGCTGGGTTTTCATTCTGAAGATGATTTTCAAAACGGAGCAGCGCTGGCCATACAGTTCACTTCTAGCCACAGACTGAGAAGTCCAGCTTCACAAGTTACTTGCCCCTTGAGCAAGGAGCTTGCCAAGAAATCAGGGTTCATTTTATTGAAAAGACTTTCAGAACTTGTAGGATTCTTCAGTAGATGGCTGAGAACAATGGCAATATGGTTACTTCGACAGATTTTGCTCTTCTGACTTTAGGTTCAGAGGTAACTTGTTTTTAGTCTGTCCCAGGGAATTGTGACTTGAAAATATTGATATTCTGACTAGTTTATTTTTGGTAGTGCACACAATGTTTAAATTATTTGTTAGAGGAGATCCATGTTGTTCCATGTTTATTAATGCATTCAACTGTCACATTTCAGGAAAATGTTTCCTAGTTTAAAAGTCTTATTTTTTTTATATTTAGTGCCTAATCCCTCTCATAGTGTTTAAAATTAGCCCGCAGGTATTTTCATTCGCTTCCGTGGGCTCTCTTGCAAGATAAACATGCAAACAGTGCAATAGACAAACAAAATAAAAAACAAACAATAAATTAAAGAAATGGAAAATTGTATGGTTTTCATCTCTGTCCTCGGGATTTGTTTTGTCTTTCTGCCTTTTTGCTGTCAAAAGAGATGAGATGGTTTGCATCTATGGAGAATAAATTATAACCATAGTCTTTATTTTTGGTAATGAATGAGTAAGGATAAGATCGTCTCTATGGCTATAAAAACACGTGGTATTATCCAGGAAATTTTTCTTGTGAGGTTGGGTGCGTGTTATATTTCCGAGAAATAAGAAGGAACAGATTTTCTTTCCATGTTCCTTTTAAATTAAGGGGCGAAGAAACTGAGAAACAGATGGGTATGAGGACCTCCCCTCATTCCGAAGCCAGCCTAGGAGCAGATCTGTGCTCAAGTTCAGTGGACACTGCAACACACGAGAGGGGCCCGAGAATGACCGCAGTGACCATTTCGGAAGTCACAGGTGCTCAGCCAGACCAGACGTCTCCCTGTTGACATTGCAGTGTTTGTCAAAGGTTCATCTGTGAATGTGGGACGATTTTACGTGGTTGATGGGTGGAAATTTTTATACTAATAATTATTTATTTTAATGTACACTAAATGGAAAACTCCGCAATTAGCAGATTCAACATCTGATTTCCCATTAACGGATGCTATTGCAGCAAATAATAAAGTATTTATGTATTTTTTTAAGGGGACACTCAGGGAAGCACAGTGAACACACTGACCAAAATGAGAAGGAATGCATTGGGGAGGGGGCGCCCGCATCACTGAGGGGCTCAGGGTGGCCCTGCAGGTCAGATGCTATTCCAGAAGGATGCTCTCTTATACAGTGGGGATGGAAGAATAGGGGCCCGTGGCCATGTATCCCTGTCACAAGTATAGTGGGCATAGTTATCGTAATGAGTGGTTATGTCTGAGGGGTACCTGCAGAGAGATTTGGAAATGGTTAATAGAACACGGCATCCCTGGGGACAAAATAGACAGGTGGCCAGTAGAGATTGCTCATGCTGTACCACCAAAGGATTTCGAGGACGGATAGATGATCAGGTGGCAGGGCACAGCCACCCTAACACAAAGGTATGAGCTCTTGCCAAGTTTCCAGACCCAGAAACTACTGGCTGAAGGAAAGTCTGAATCTTCAAGGAGGGCTTTGCCACCCCACGGCAAATGTGTGTGAGTGACTCCCCCTCTCCAAAGGGCCTGTGGTTATTTACTTGGATCACTTGGGGAAAGGAGTGGACACAAACACTCTGAGGACACAGGACACACGGTCCAAGCTGAGATTGACACTCAGGGACAAGAGTATCACCATAGTGTGCCTTTTAGAGTGGGGAATCCAGATAATGAATGGAGTCCTATCTCAGGACTCACAGTAGGTCCATTGAGTCCATGGATCTGCCCAGTCAGTGATCATCTCCCCACTTCCTGAATAAATGATTGACCTGAATATGTCTGGGACTTGTCAGAACCCCCATTTGTTTCTTGGCCTGTGGGTTAAAAACTGTCTTAATGGGAAAGCTAAGTGAAGCCTCTGAAACTGCCCCCCCCCCCCGCCCCCTCGGACGTCAGTATTGCCTCCCCGGGAGATGGCAGGACTTGGTGCTACCTTGAAAGACCTGGCAGAGGCAGGAGTGTTGGTCCGATCACAATTCATTTAATTTACCCCTTTGGCTGCTATGAAAGCTAGATGGCATGAACCGATTTTCCCCGTCGGTTAATGTGTTTCCTCATTGCCTCAGATCATTTTCTATTACTAATATCACAGGAAATGTGTACAAATTTAAGTTGCGTTGAAAGGAGTATATTCAGTTTCCAAATCATTGCCATGTATAGTGTTTCAAGAAATTTTATTTACGCCCTGGCAGGTTTGGCTCAGCGGTAGGAGCGTCAGCCCGAGGACTGGAGGGTTGCGGGTTTGATTCTGGTCAAGGGCACGTGCCTTGGTTGCGGTTCAGTCCCCGGCCCTGATTGGGGTCATGTGGGAGGCAGCCAGTCGATGTGTCTCTCTCACATCGAAGTTTCTCTCTTTCTCCCTCCCTCACACTGTCTGAAGATAAATGGAAAAGTGTTCTTAGGTGAGGATTTAAAAAAGAAAAAAGAAATGTTATTTACTTGCAGAGTATTATTCCACATTCTGTTTTTATTTATTGACTGATTTTAGAGAGAGGGGAAGGAAGAGAGGAGAGATTTGTTGTTCCACTTATTTATGCATTCATTGATTGATTCTTTTTAAAAATATGATTTTATTAATTTTTTTTTTAAGGAGAGAGAAAGTGAAAGAGATAGGAACATTGATGTGAGAGAGAAACATCCATTGGCTGCCTCCTGTGCGCCCCCTACTGGGGATCAAGCCCACAACCAGGGCACGTGCCCTGACTGGCAATCGATCCGGGACCTCTCAGTCCACGGGATGACGCTCAATCTACTGAGCCACACCAGCTGGGCAGGAATAGTGTTCTATTTATAAAATGAGTAGCAGTCAAGATAAGCGGTTGGTCTGTTTTTCCTCCATCATCTTCACGGGAAGAAGGTGTTATGAACCTATTAAACCCAGCTGTGCTCAGGACCGCTCGCTCTATCGGCCCTTTGCCTATTGTCTGATTTTGTTATTGGAATATAGTGTGTCTTTCTAAGAATGAAACTGTCACTCAAGTTTCCTTCAAATTTTTATTTTAATATTGTAGGTCCTAAGAAAAGAAAGGGGGATTTCTCTGGGATTACAGGAAGCAAAGTGTCATTCCTGGCTCATAGATGTGGTATGCTTAGAAGAATTTGGGCTAAGACTCAATTTCATTGTAATATAGCACCTGGCTCCAAGTCATTGGGGGGGGGGGGGGGAGACATACAGCGTCCACTGCTCTCTTCGAATGGCTTGAAGTCACACATACCTACTGAAAGACTGAGCATTAGCTGAAAGGTCATATATTTTATATTCTTAAAATATAAAGACCATGAAGAAAATTTTAAAATAGAGAAAAGAAAACTAAGCAAAATACAAGAACTCTACTACAGCCAGCCATAACATTTTGGGAGATTACATTTTTTTTTATGTGTATATTTGAAATTATCTGTACAATATACATATATATTCTCATTATTAAATTTAGGTCAGGGGTCATGAACTCAAATGTCTCCAAGGGTCACTGAGTAGGGACTGAGGATCAAAGGGGGTTATATGTTCTTTACCCTAAGGGAGCAGTTACTCTTCAGCTTCAAATTATTGCTGTCAAGCAAAAGGTCTCAATTTTGCCAATTATTATTATTTTTTGACAAGAGTCAAACAAACATGATTTTTATACGTTTTATCAATTTTATTATTTTTTCAATCCTCACCCGAGGATATGTGTTTATTGGTTTAAGAGAGAAGAAAGGAGAGGGAGAAAGAAAGAGAGAAACATCCATCTGGTGCCTCCTGCAATCCCCCTACTGGTGATCGAGCCTGAAACCTGGGCATGTGCCCTGACCAGGTATCAAACCTGAGACCTTCCGGGACAACACTCCAACCAACTGATCCACACTGGCCAGCGCAGTTTTATCAATTTTAAAACGTTGATTACAAAATTTAAAAACATTGTGTAAGCCAAAGATATATACATGAGCTGACAGTTTACTACATTTCACAGGTCATAAACATTTTCTGTTAGCAAGTAGCCTCCAGAGTGTCTATTTTACAAAGCTGCATAATATAAAATCGAGCAGATGTAACACATAATCTTTCATCTATTTTTGGACGTTTAGAAATTGCTTCCAATTTTTCTCTGCCATGAACATCTCCAAGCATATTGCTTTGTCCTGTGTTCTTGATGGAATTATAGAATCAAAGGGCGTAATACTTCAATCATTCTTTTTTTTTTTAATCCTCACCCGAGGATTTTTTCCTATTTATCTTCAGATAGAAAGGGAGAGAAACATCGATGGGAGAGGGACCCATCGACTGGTTGCCTCCCACATAACCCTGACCAGTGCTGGGGATGAATCACAACCGAGGTACACGCCCTTGACCAGAATCAAACCCGAGACTCATTGGTCCACGGGCCGATGCTTCACCGCTGAGCCAAACGGGCCAGGGCTTAAATCATTCTTTATGTACCTCATCAGATATTTTCCAAAAGGTTTGTACCAGTTTATGTTCTCTCTGGCAGTGATACATGAAAATAGTTTCACTACATCTCTGTCGTCATTGAGATCTATACCAGGAAAAATATTGGCAAAGAAAATAGAAAGGCAACTCATCTGTTTATTAGTTTAGGTGAACAGTTTTTCATGCGCGTGTTTACCACTTTCATTTCTTTCGTGACTCATCTATTTATTGCCTTTGTTCCTTATCTATGGGAGGACTCCTACTTTGAAGTGTTAACAATGTCAATCTAGGCAGCAGCTAGGTAGAAATAAACATCAACACCTGCTTCATGTTTAAAACATCTGTTTTATGGGGTTTTTCTTTCCTCTGCTTGTCAGCTTTCATCCTTGGGTCTCTCGCTGTCTCACTTGGCAGCATCCACAGTAGAGGCAAAATGAACGGGAAGGCATCTTTAAACGGCCTGTGACACCATCTCTTTATTTTGTGGGACACAGTTCCCAAGCAATAAGACTGCTGGTTTTAGCCCCGCATTTGATCATTAGTCGTTGACTTATTAGTTGTGAAATATTTCGAGTTTACAAACACAAGTCTTATCATTGTGATGTTAGGGGCCAGAGTAGGTCCAGGCTTTGGGATTCCAAGCTGCTCGTTTTGCGAATGTGAAACTTGCGTTTCGGTCACCTCTCCAAAGTCACACCAGCTGGCAAGAACTGCGTCGTGGTCTGCCACCCGGCCTCTGTGCTCTAGTTTAACTTCTTCCCATTCCAGCATGCTGCCTCCCTCTGGTACGGCACGTGCCACCACACTGCAGTGGGATTTGGTCCTGATATATCTGAATTCAGCAAAGGAATGGCTGCATTTATGTACATTTTTGTCCTAAATCCATCACAGAACATAATTGTTTTGCTCTTTCAATCCTGGTGAAAATGTTTCATAGAGCCATGAAAAACCTGTATAAATATTGGTTTCATTGCTCTTTTATTTCAAGAAATGTGGTGGTAACAGTGGGAAACAAGAAGTAAAAATAATAATAAAAAGCCACCCAATATTTTACGTTATTTATGACAGAAGTACAAAAATGCAATCTGGATATTTTATTCGAGGTAACCATTAGCATGATTACTGCTGAGATTCAAATTCAACTTGGGGGGTGAAACATTAAACTAATGACTTCTATCCAAAGGCATTTAATGTTGGCAAAATCCACAGAACAGAGGAACTGCCTGCTTTGTTCTAGAAGCGGAACACACCCGTCGATGTCCGGACACCCCTCTCTGCTGGCGCGCCGGCATCTTTCTGTGCGGCAGCTGAACAGGTGGCCTGAAGGGCCTCGTCTTTCACGCCCAGCAGGAGTCCCAGACGAGGCCTGAAGTAGTAGTTTTGAAACTTGAGGGTCTTGTTAAATGTGCAGGTGCCTGGGTCCCACTCAAGATAGTGTACTTCTGTGGGACTAGCATGGAGACGGGGAATATTCATTTTAATAGACTTTTTATTTTAGACTAGTTTCAGGTTTACAGAAAAATTGTAAAGATAGTACAAAAGTTCCAAATACCCCACTCCCAGCCTCCCATCTTATTAACATCTTACACAAGTAAGGTCAATTGATCACACCTATCGAACCATCGATACATTATTGTTGACTGAAGTCCATACTCTGTTCACATTTCCTTCGTTTTACCTACTGCTTCTTTTCTGTTCCAGGGGTCCATCCAGGACGCCACATTACATGAGTTGTCATGTCTTAAGCTCCTCTTGGCCATGACAGTTTCTCGGACTTTCCTCGCTTTTGAAAAGTATTGGTCAAGTATTTTGTGTAATGTACCTGGGTTGGGATTTGTCTGATATTTTTCTTGTGATTAGACTGGCAGGAAGACCACAGAGGTGAAGTACCATTTTCATCATGTTATAGGAATGGTACGTACATCAACATGACTTACTATGACAATGTTCATCTTGATCCCCTGGCTGAGAGACTCCGCAGTTCTAACCCTTCCCAGGAGAGATTTTGAGCAGGTAATGACTGGAGCACCTTTGGAGGAAGATCGGGTGTTGTGTTCACTCTAGAATTCAGGCATGTCTGAGAGTGTCTGAGGGGTTGCTGGGTGCAGTAAGGATTGGACTCAACTGTGGATAACAGAGAAGCCCGCACATAAGGTCTTACCTGTCTTATCTAACAAGAAGTTTGGCAATGGACATTCCATCCATCAACTGTGTAGTCTGTGGCTTGCTTCCTGTTCCTTATCCTCAGCTCGTGACTTTAGTCCTCCAGAGGGCATCTATGTCCAGGAAAGGAGAAAGTGTACAGGCAGAGGAACAAAGGACAAGTTAGCCGTGCCTGTCACTTTAAAAGAGTCCTATCGTATTCAGACCTTGCTATCCACACGGACATCATGCAGACAAAGAGTAAGTTGGGGGTACAGTATGGGTTTAGCGTTGTCTCATTGGACATAATTTACCACTGTCCAGCCTCCAAATTCCCACACAGAAAAAATAAAATAAAAGAGACTTCTACTTATAAAATAGGATTGTTCAAAACTGAATCACACCCTGGCCGGTTTGGCTTAGTGGTTGGTACATCGGCCCGCGGACCGGAGAGTCCCGGGTTCGGTTCCCGCTAAGGGCACGTACCTCGGTTGCAGTTTGTCCCCGGCCCCGGTTGGGTCATGTGGGTGGCAGCCACTCTACGTGTCCCTTTCACATCAATGTTTCTCTCTCTCTCTCCCTCCATCTCTCCCTCTCGCTCTATCTGAAGATAGGAGCAAAAATGTCCTCTGGTGAGGATAACAAAAAATTAAGGAGAATGGAATCACTGGGCTAGCCACGAAGACACGGGGGTCTGAGATGGTGAGCACTTTTAACGGGGCACATAATCACCTTGAACCAAAGCACAGCCCCGTGACTTAGCAAGATGGAGTGTAAGGCTGTGGTGTAGGCGGTCGGCAGTCTGTGCCTCCAGCAATGAATTTATATTCTGCACATGGCTGCATGTCTCTCTTTCATAGCAAAGTGATTTTCTAAAAAACACATGTCCCCTCCTGCTTAAAGCCGTATCTTTAGGAAAAAGTAAAAACAACAACAACAACAAAAAAAAACTGTTATGAGGTCCTGCAATTTTGGCCCTGACCTGTCTCTGCAGACTCACTGCGCAAGCCACGGCCTCCTGTTCGTATAGTAGACTCTGCTCCCTCTTCCAGCCTCACACTCTGCACATGTTCTTTACTTGCAACACTGTACAGCTGCCTGCAAGCCAGCTCCCTCTCAGCTGGATACTGCTCTTACCTCTTACTCATTCTTCAGACCTTTATGTTTCAGTTCAATATAAGTTCATTAATAAAACTTTGCCCAACTCCGAAGACTGGCTTGGTCCCCGCTAGAATATACATACATATTAGAATATACATATTAGAGCATCACGCACTTTCTCTTGTGGTTCTTTTTTTCAATTTATTTTTAACTTTATTGTTGAATGTATTACAGATGTTCCTCATTTTCCCCCCATTGACCCCCTCCTGCCCACTCCCGCCCCCCTCCTGCCTTTTCCCACACTGTTGTCTGTGTCCATTGGTTATGCATATATGCATATAAGTTCTTTGGTTTATTTCTTCCCACCCCCCAAACCTCCCTTCCCTTTGAGGTTTGTCAGTCTAGCAACCAATTTGTTCTTAATCCCTTCACCTTTTTCACCCATTCCTCCATCTCTGTGGTTCTTAACACAGCCATCATCTCGAATGTATTTACGTGATTATTAGATTAACGGTTGTCTACTCCATAAACCACAAGCTCCATGAAGCAGGCACCACGTCTATCGCTCATTATTCTGTCCCAGTGCCTAGTGGAGTGGCTGGCGTATGGAAGATATTAAGTCGATACCGGCTGAGAATGCATGAGGATGTACCCCGAGGGAGGAGAGAGTCAAGAGGCAGAGTTTGACTAGAACAAAGGATCGGTGAGGGAGGGGAGGCATTCGGAGTCTCCTGTTCCTTTTCCTTAGCCACTATGGGCTCACGCCTGACTTTCGAAGTGAGGAGACACAAAAAGAAGAGGAGAAGACTAAACAAGCGACATCCTGTGTCCAGTGGCATTGACAATGGCATAAGAATGAGTCATCTGCCCAGCTGGTGCGCCTCAGTGGTTGAGCATTGAACCATGCACCAAGAGGTCGCCAGTTCGATTCCTGGTCAGGACACATGCCCAGGTTGTAGGCCTGATCCCCAGTGGGGGGCACGCAGGAGGTGGCCAGTTGATGTTCTCTCTCATCGATGTTTCTATCTCTCTCTCCCCCTCTCCCTGCCTCTCTCTCTAAAATCAAAAAAGAAAAAGAAAAAAAAAGAATGAGTCATCTGCGCAGCACGGGCACCTTCTGCAGCAATGGCTGTAGTCTCAGCAGGGTAGTTGGTGCCCCAGGCATGGGGAGCTGTAATTTCACCACAAAGACCAGGGGACCAAGAGGGCAGTTTATCTTGGAGGTTAAAAGCACAGGCTTTGACATTCAGATCTCAGCTTTGTACTAACAAGGTGACCGTGGGCAAGTTACTTAGCGTTAATCCTCAGCTTCCGTCAGAGCAAAATGGGTAAAATGCTTGTTATAAGTTTAGGTGAGTTATTGCGGGGACAGCAGCCACTATGATCCCGCTGGCGGCCCCGGCTGTGGCCCCAGAGCCCACCGGGAATCCGAAGGTTTGGAAAAGAATTTAAAGGGAAGGGTGGAATTCCACAGTGAGTTGAGATGAAGGGAAAAAAATGTGTTTTCTGACTGCTCTTGAAACTTTATAGTAACCTCATGGCCTGAAAAATATAGCTTCACACACAAGGGCAAACCTAAAGGGGATCTAATTTAACTTGTTTTTTTTTTCCCACTGCACAGGCCTCTGGAAGAGGTAGCAAGTCCTCATAAGCTTGTGGTAGGGCCAGGAAAATCGCCAGCTCTTCGGAGAGTTCTGTTGGTCTGGGGCCACAGGAGCGCAGGGATTTGGAGAAGGATGTAGGAGACAGAGTGCTTGGGAGCACGCCCTCTGGGGCTGGATTACTGGGCTCCAGACTCAGTGTAGTTGTGCAAAATTGGGGAATTTAACCAATCTTTGGTTTCCTCACCTGTAAAATAGAAGTAAGATTATCTTATTCATAAGGATATTTTTTGCAAGAATTACATGATACTTTCATATAAGGCTGGGTTTTCAGTGGAGAGAAGGGCAATTTTGTTCCCCAGGGGGCATTTGGACGTGTCTGGAGACATTTTTTTTTGTTTTTCCCTAATAGAGGAGATGCCCCTGGCATGTAACGGCTAGAGGCCCAGGCGGCTACTACATGTTCTACAGTGCACAGAACAGCCCCCACAGCAAAGGATTGTCGCGAATGTCACCAGTGCTGAGCCCGAGAATTCCAAAGACGCGAGATGGAGAGGAACCCTGTGTCGGGGCGATCGCTCCGTGTGAATGCTCACTGATAAACTTCAAGTGGGAACGACACTGCACCTGCCACACAGAGCTTCCCAAGTGCGCCTGCCTGTTTTGACCAAGTGAAGGGGATCAAGAGGCATTTTTCTCATTTTATTTTCTGACAAGACCATACCCATGGCATTTCAGCTGTGAGATATAGCTGTCAGTTGATTGTTTAGAAGATGATTTCAATGTTACAATCAAGAAAAATATGTGACTTCCAATCATACAAATGCCTCTTCTTTGGTTTGGATAGTTTGGAAGGTGCTCATTTATGTTCTTGTAGCAGATGAAGAAGTGAACACGTGTGCAGTTGGAGAGAAATCTCCAGGATGCAGTTTTAGGAACATGTCGCAGGCAGGCCTGAAGCATGGAGCTGTTAGGGGGTTGTTGCCCTAGGAAACTGACCTTGGGACACTGACCCCTGACTCCCTCCAGTAAATCTTCAGAATTTTGCTGGCACTGTCACTACTTATTTCCATCCGTGAGAAGACAGGTGGATAGCCCTGGGGAGGGAACAGAAGGGAATACAATTTCCCAGAAAAAAGGCAAAGGAAATTTCTCATGGATCTGATGGCATGCTCATCCAAAGAAGGGACCTCATCACAAAGGGGGGAGAATGAGGGTGGGGCACCTTCTCGGATATAGAAAGACAGGGAAGCTTGTCTTTCCAACTGGAAAAATGCTCCCCAGCCTTCTGTTCGTTGTGGCTTCCTGTGTTAAGTGAAGTACATCTTCCCTTATAAAGCTCCTCTCTCCTTTGCTTAGGTCTCAGGTGGCTTTCTGTCGAGGGTCACCGAAGAAAATAGACCCAAGTGTAAAGGACTCTACTCCCAGGAGCTAGGGCCCTGCAGAAAAATCTCGGAAGCTGGGAGTGGGTGGGCTGGGATAACGATATGGGGTGTGTGTCAGGTACGGAATGAGGTGAGGAGGGGTGATAGAAAGGTGGGGTTCAGGAAGTCTGAGAGGCTGGGTCTTCAGTTCTTCTACCTAGCTGTGCTTTCAATAGAGTAGCTATATCTAATCTACTTTTATCTAAATTTATCTATGCTTCTATTGTTATTCCAAGTAATATTTCATTTTTTCCTCCAAAGGGTTCCACTGTGAGTAAAAAAAATTGTTGAAAATTACTGGCATGCATATATATATATATAATCAGCTCCTTATTTATAGGATGCAATAAGTTAAGCTTCCTTCAGAATTCACTTTTATTGAGGATGTCAGTAAAAAGTTTATGCAAAACCAGGATTATTTTCCAAAGTCAACAAGATCTATTTAACTTGCTCCAAGAGAAGGCTCTTAGACACTCAACCAGGTCTCTTGTCCCCCAGGGCTTATCATCCATTCTTGACCTTGGGATCTAGGGATGGCGAGGCAGAGGGAATAGAGCCAACTCCTTAACTCCAGGTGTGCTCCGAGGCTGGGAGATGTTGGGTCTCCCTGTGAACATCTGTGGAGGCAGCACCATAAATACTCAGGTGGGTGCGCCTCAGTGATCTTGGTTGGTCACATGTAACAGGTTTGCATCTCCTGTCAACACCAGGGTCTTCCTATTTCCATCAAGGGCTTTGCAGAAGGGATCCGGTTGAACACTAGATGTCACTGTTGACTCACTCTGTTGTCTTTAGCGGCAAGATTCCCAGGTCTGCGTGAAGAGATGCAATAAAAAAAAAAAAGAAGAAGAAGCCTGAATATAGACACAAACCTATTAATTTTTCTCCTTTTCAATAACTGTGCTTTTTGATAAATTTCAGGGATTGTCTTTTTCTAGAGAATATTTGACAGTTGGCAGAAAATGGACCGATGAAGAGGCATGAATGTTTTTTAAAGGAGAAAAGTCAACTAACTTATACTAGAGCTTTGTGAATAAGATCATTTTTGCATTTCTGAGCTTCTGCCTGAGACAAGACTCAAGTTACCCTCAAGCCTACGTGTTTCCATAGTTCTGTGGCATACCAGATTATGTTCCTCTTTGGCATTTATTTGAATGATGTAACAAATATATGCCTAATATTTGCCCTTATTACTCGATAGGCCAGGTAGTCAGTGTTG